TTGTTACTGTTTGTGTTACTGGTAAGTTATTTATATTATATCATAATCAAATCATTTTGCATTAAAATATTAAATAAAGAATATAAAAAAAGAATTATTTATATTTACTAAATTATATATATTGATTATAGGTGATGAAAAAAATCAAATTCACATGGAAGGTTATCAAGTATCTAATCAATGCATGGCATTGGTACGTGATGGCTGTTTGGTTCCTACAAAAGATGCGCCAGAATTGGGCTATGTAATTGAATCAACAGATAAACAGTATGTTCCAGATGTCTTCTACAAGGTGAGTACATGAGGTTTATTTGATCTTTTTTGATTAATTTTCTGCTTTAAATTAAGATGATAATATTAGTTTTAAAATTGATCATGAATGTATATGTTATGATGAAAATATGTTATTAAATTATCTTATATGCTAATAATATTAAGGAAGGTAAAGGTATGCATAAAATATACACGAATGAAAGAGAAACAGTTTATAACTCAAAATTGATTGATTAAAAGTACATTTAAATTGGGCAACGAACTTCGTATATGTATAATGAAATAATAAAACTGTTTAAGCATGTACACTACGGATATGCGTTTCCGTAGGCTGTAAACAAAATGACCTCAATTTTCGTATGTAATGATGATTACGCCTTAACTTAAAAAGGGTGAATGAGAAATAGAAAAAAGAAAAGGAAACAGGAGAGAGAATGAAAAAAAAAAGGTGGAAAGAAAAACTTATCGAAAAATTATAGCCGCTCAACCGTTTAATTCGAACGCGAGGGGCAAAGTAAATCGGTTGTTAGAATTGATATTACAAGCTATGCGTTGTTACCTCATCACGTTCATAAAAATATATGTAGTGTGTATATATATATACATATACATTTATATATATATATANAGCTTCACTCGCTTCGGTAAACATGAATTTATACGCACCTAGATTCAAAAATGTCGACTGACGTCTTTCGTTTTTTTTTTCTTTTTACAACGACCGAAACAAGAGAAATTCATTCGAGCTCGATCACCCTTCGATCGTCGTACGTATTACGCAGTATTATTTAATTCTAATTCTTACATTCATCGTAATGCAATGAGTTTTCCTTTCTTTATGATATTGCAAACGATGAATTAGCTAATTAACAAGTGTTAAAACTTTTAAGTTCAACATCGAATGAGGCTTTCTTCGAAAAAAGGCATTCGCGACGACGAGGGCGTGCAATTTCCTACAATACGTGAGTGCGCTTTTTGTGTTTACGCGCCGGTTTACAGAACACTTTTTTTACGACGCTTTTTTTCGCACACGGGTACATGATAATATGATACATAACGATGGGATTTTTACGAGGATTCAGACGAGTAGTATAACGCATTACATTATCGTAGTACTTCGATATACAGCATCGAGGAATGATTCGTTTATAATATACATTCGCTCATTTCGTTCGTTTTTTTCTGATCAGACGACGAGGCTTACAATCTACATAGTAGTAGTTAGGCCTTGCATACATTTTCATGTTGAGATCTAATCTTAAATACAGTTAATTTACGACGGTCTACTGACCATGGCAAAGAGCAAAAAGGGAGGAGTATCTTTGAGTCCTCCGATAGGAACCGCAATTTTCCTTGACTCGTTTCATCGCATAATTACTTATTCCCTTTTAGCTCCTTTTCTCTCCTCTGGAAAAAGAAACAGAACGATACGTGATCGTTGACCAGACGAAATAAAATTGGCCCTTTTACGTACCGACGTATCGTTCAGTTAATGTTCTAAACGACCTGCGTATATGGAATCACGACTTTTTGACTTTTACGAAGTCATGTTTTTTCGATTATAAAACAAAAAAAAGTTTTCGCCTGTACGTTTGTCTGTTTGCTTTTTTTTTTCTTTTTTTTTTCCTTTTTTTTTTTTTTTTTTTTTTTTTTTTTTTTTTTTTTTTTTTTTTTTTT